AAGGATGGGTAGGATGCAAAGAGGCAGAGAGAGGGCACACCATGCTGGGAACTTTAATAAAAGTCTTCTATGTTGGTGTGTGCTGAATCAGTTCTGCCTAAAGACATGGTGGATGAGGTGACCTTTTCCCACTTGCTTTGACTCCAGGCAGAATTCTCTAAGCAATAAAGGAGAAAGGAATCAAAATAAAATTGAGAATGGGGGAATTATTTGCCTGTGTGCCCATGAGTTGAGACTTTTTTTTTTTTTAATGTCAGCTGTGAGGCTGAGAAAGAAATAAATGATTCCAAAAAGCTTTCATCACTGGGTTTCCAATAGAAACTCCAAGTGGGCCTGAGCAGTTGCAGCTGCCTACTGTACACCACTGTGATCATCAGCACCAAACCTGGGGTAATGGTTCCGCTCCTGCTCCCGCCCAGGCTCCCCACCCAGAGCTTCTTAAGGGCAATTGGAGACTTCTTCAATCCACTTTGGATCCTGAGAGTAGAACTCTGTGGGTTTTTACAGTGATTAGTTCTCTAATGCTGGCCCTGTTTCCATAGAGACCCTATAAATAGAGGAACGTTGGCGACCTAGGCTGGCAAAGGCTCAGGGTGACCCAGTCACCCCACTGAACCCTCACAGCCAAACTGTTGGTAGGGCGGAAGGAGTTTCAAACCCAGGTAGGAGGAAGGGCTATGCAGTCAGCTGCCAGGTGGGATAATTAGCTATAGATTAGTGTGACTTTAAACTTTCCTGGGATTTGTTGAGAACACGGGGACCTGTAAAAATTAGAAACCACTTTTGGTCATTTTTAACCAGATGGTGCCAATGACACTGTACCCCGAGGCATTTTAGTTTTGGATTTATGCAGCTGTGTTTGCAGATTTTGGAGCAAACTTCCCCTTTGGGGGACCCACACCCAGGGAGAAAGACGGATGAAGCCCAACTGTTCAGAAACCACAGCCTTCTCAGGAAGGATCTTTCAGAAGCCATCTAGTCCTCCCTTTCTTCCTGAAAGGACAATGTCACCCAAGGAGATGGGGTCCTTCCTGCCCTTTCAGATAGTTCCAGGGGAGGGACAGCCAACTCCCCTCACTTCCTTCCTCAGGGCAACTCACCCTGGGAGGCTTTCCTTTCTGACTACCTTCTGGCCAATTCTGGGGACAGCACTTCTTGCTTCGGTCTTATGGATCATGAAAGCCCTGTTTGTGTCCCACCTCTCAGCTCTCTACTACATGGCTTCATTTGGCCACCAGAATGGTTTCTGGCAGCCAGGGAAAAGCAAAAGTCAATGTGGAAAAGCAAGTGACATTTTAGGAGCTGGAACCTGTTAGTCAGAGCAGGTGGTGCTTTCTGCTGCGTTGGCGGCTAAGTTCCCTTAAGCTAGTCACCATGGTTTTCCTCACTTCTGAAACTTGTAGCTGGTTATGTGTATGTGCTGAGTTTTTTTTTTTTTTTTTTTTTTTAAACACTTACTGTGTTATGTCAAAACTCCTTAACCATCTCCTCCCTGACACCCACATAAAGAAGCGGCCCAGCCCATGCGTCACTTTGCTGTTCCCGCCTCGCACCTTATAAGTGAGGAAAAACCCCTTCATTTGGAGCAATCTCCTCTCTCCGCACATTGTTCTTTAACTTCTTTTTTGTTCTTTCCCTCCTGCCTGCCACAGACTTTGATAGACTCCTTGGTCTGCTGGGGCAAAGGTCCTGGGGTCTCCTGGTCACTTTCCTTAGGTTTCCTTCACCTACAGGACAGCTCAGGGAGATGGGAAGTAAAGACCTTATAGTTGAGGGTCTTGTCCTATAACATGGGATGGGCAGATCACGACTGCAGTTCAGAGGACCTAACAACCCTTGACCCAGGCATTTTTGTTTTGCTCCTGCCTTTGATACTGTTCTGGGACGCATGCAAATACCCTACCTACTTTAGTCTTGAAATCAGTGTATGGGGCCGGGTGTAGTGGCTCATGCCTGTTATCTCAGCACTTTGAGAGGCCGAGGTGGGCGGATCACCTGAGGTCAGGAGTTTGAGACCAGCCTGGCCAACATGGTGAAACCCTATCTCTACTAAAAACACAAAAATTAGCCAGGTGTGGTGGCACACACCTGTAATCCCAGCTCCTCAGGAGGCTGAGGCAGGAGAAGTGCTTGAACCTGGGAGGTGGAGGTTGCAGTGAGCCAAGGTCACACCATTGCACTTCAGCCTGGGCAACAGAGCGAGACTCTGTCTCAAAAAAAAAAAAGAAAAGAAAAGAAAAGAAAAAGAAATCGGTGTATGGGCCCATGAAGGTAAATTCAGTTAGAAGTTGGGGGTTTCTCTGTGTGGCTTGGACGAGCCACTTAGCTATGCTGTGCTTCCGCTTCTTCATCTGCAAAATAGACTGATGCTATGATGTTTCATATTTCTAGCTCCTGAAATTAGGCTAGTGTCAGATTATGACAGTATAAATCAGAATGCACTTTGCAAAATGCTGTTGTATAAATTTTAAAAGCAAATTGACCAAAGATTTTAGGCTCCAAGGCAATATGGCAGACATTAGTGGCTGCCATAGCTCTCCCTGGCACCTCCACCGGCCTCCCAGGGATAGGGGAGAAGAAATGCCTCAGAACTCTAGGACCTCTGCTGAAGTCTTTAGAAGGGAAACTCTTTCTGCCTGAGTGGATCCTCAGTGTTGGAGAAGCCAGTTTCGGAATGGGGGGAGAAGAGGAAGAGACCTGGAATAGAATGCTAGAAAGACAATTTGTATTATGGAATGTGACGATTTGGCAGAGGCAGCTGGGCAAATGCCAGAGCCAGCTGGCCCCATCACAGTACCTGGAGGGAGGTCTCGCATCAGCTTGGGCCTAGGGAAGAGGGAGGTGTCCTGGCGTGTCCCTGTTCTGGAGACTGCAGGATCTGGCCCATTCCAAGTCCATGGCAGAGTTGACATCTTGGTTCTTCCCAGCACAGATTCAGGTGAGCCTTGTGATCCTGCCTCAAGCTGGCCCCCAGGGGATGGTAACTCCTGTGGGAAAACCTGGCATTGTGTAACTTAGCATCTCGAGGGCCGCCCCAGAATTCAGTTCTTGAGAGGGAATCGTGGTATCCTTAATTTCCTCATCTCTAAAAGGAGACGTTCCAGTTGTTGGTTTTGTTACTATTTAGGAAAACCAGATGGGATAATGCAGGATACAAAGCTTCTTTAAAATGAAAAACCGTTAGTTCGTGATGAGTTGTGATGATGTAATTTATCTGGTCTGTAAAATGGGTGATGTAAGGGCCTCACCTACTTTGAAGATTCTGGGGATGCCCAAATGAGGTGAAAAATGAAAATCCTAATATTTTACACAAATACATAATGGTGTGGTTATTTGTATCCAGCTGTAAGTGCAGCCATCTGCACAAACTCAAGGCTGAGTTGTAAAGTAACCTAAGAGTGGGGTCAGCTCATTCAGAGGATGTCAGGTTGGTTTTTCTTGGTTTCTATATGGTCTAGATTTTCTGCTCTGTAAGGTTGTTTCTAGGGAAAAAAAAAGAAAATCCAGTCTGTGTAATTTTTTGGAACTTTTTTTAAATGATTGAGGCTGCCTGGTAAGATTGTAGGTTGTTCATCACAGGAAACCCTGCTATGGCTCATTGAGTCCCACATGGCTGGGTCCTGGAGTTTTCCTCTAAGGAGCTGCAGAATGTGAGGTGTCTCCTGGTCCTCCAAGTCTCACCCCTCCTCCCACTGGCTCCAAAGCTCTCATAGAGGGCTCAGCCTGGCCAGATAAGCCGTCCCCTGACAGAAGCAGCTGTCTGGAATTATCCCACAGTTGCTCGCCCTGGCAGGCCATCCAGCTGCCCCTCTGGGAGCAGTCTTGCCGGAGGAGCAGCTGGAGAATCTCAGCGACAGGGCTGAGAGGAAAGGCTGTGGCCAGGGCAGCACTGGGTTGCAGGGCCTCTTTGGGTCTAAGGGGAAAGACACTCATTTGGATAGCTTGTTCCGATGTGTATGCTGAAGAATTGGTCACATTACTGACTATGTCACAAGGTTTGCTCATAGAAGTAAAGTTTATTTCATTGCCAACCGCATCAGGAATGAGATTGGCTGCAAATAACAGAAAATCATACTAGAGTTGTGTAGACAAAGATGGGTTTATTTCATGCAACAAGAATCCCAGGATAGATGTTCACAACTGGTTTGGTGGCTCCATAGACTTTCAAGTTCCCAGGACTGTCCCTTGGGCTCCACCATCTGTGTGCAGGCCCTCATCAGGTTGCAGAATGGCCACTGCATCTCCGGGCACTGCATTCCCATTCCAGATGGGAAGATGTGGAAAGGACCAGTGCCTTTATCAGGAAAGCAAAAGTGTTCCCAGAAACTCACCTTGCTTTTTGTTGGCCCAAACTGTCATGTGGCTACTCCTAGCTGCAAGGGAGTCTGATGAAGCAGGAATTTTTAGCAAGGTGAGTTAAGTCCTTGCAGTTTGGTTGGTAAGAAAGAAAGAGAAATAGATATTGGGTAGGCAATTAGCACTCTCTGCTACAACAGTGTAACCTGATTGTATGACCCTGATTTTCCTGGGTGAATGTTGGAATTGGGCATCTTTGGAAATCAATGCTTGGTGGCCTGAAAGAGCTGGTACAGCTTGAAGGGATGTCTAACTTGGAAGGAGGGAAGAACTGGGGCTGGGGGTATCCATGTAGAGGGATACAATCCCATGAGCCAAGTGCTACCTATGTATGCCATTAAGCCTCAGACTGAAGCCCTGAGAGCATCATTCCTAGAAACTCTGAATCTGCATTTTGATTGGGAATGTCCTGTGGAAAACCATGGGGGCACATCTCTTTGGGAATGAAAGGATGGGTCTGGGTTGCCACCTTTTCACAAAGTGACCTTTTATGCATGACATGCCATCTATAGAGATCTTCCAGGTTCAGATGGCTGCATTGGCTATGCCAATCCACCAAGGACAGACCCTTCACCTTCACCCCACACTGACTAGGCAATCAAGAGCTTTCCACTCACCAAGGTTCTTCATCTCTCCCCCTTCAGAAAATCCAGCAGCTGTCAGAGGGCTCCATGTTTGGCCACGGTCTGAAGCACCTGTTCCACAGCCGCCGTCGGTCTCGGGAAAGGGAGCACCAGACGTCTCAGGATTCCCAGCAGCAGCAGCAGCAGCAGCAGGGTATGTCCGACCATGACTCCCCAGATGAGAAGGAACGCTCTCCGGAGATGCACCGCGTCTCCTACGCCATGTCCCTGCACGATCTGCCTGCCCGGCCCACTGCCTTCAACCGTGTGCTGCAGCAGATCCGGTCCCGGCCCTCCATCAAGCGGGGCGCCAGCCTGCACAGCAGCAGTGGGGGCGGCAGCAGCGGGAGCAGCAGCCGGCGCACCAAGAGTAGCTCCCTGGAGCCCCAGCGTGGCAGCCCTCACCTGCTGCGGAAGGCCCCCCAGGACAGCAGCCTGGCCGCCATCCTGCACCAGCACCAGTGCCGTCCCCGCTCTTCCTCCACCACCGACACTGCTCTGCTGCTGGCCGATGGTAGCAACGTGTACCTCCTGGCTGAGGAGGCCGAAGGCATCGGGGACAAGGTGAGGTGGGCCTTCTGGGGCAGGGGGAGACTCAAAGGCAAGGGCCATCTGCTGAGGGGCCTTGAGATCTGGGGAGCTGAACCGGGGGCCCTGCCTGGCAGATCCTGACACCCTGCCGCCTGCATAGTTATCTGCCTTGGTTAAAGGAGTCAGATATGACTAGGCCAAAAACAAGAGATGATCCCCAGGATGGCTAATTTTTGTTTCCTCAGGGTTTTGTTTTTCAAAATTGTGTTTTGTTCATACTGGTATTAATGTTGACTTGTTTTCCTTAAATGGGCTATCAAGAAGCAATATGTATAGTAGTTTAAAGCATAGACTGGAAGCAACCCTGGTTCTGCCACTTACTCAGTTAACCTCTTTATGCTTGTGTCACCAGTGGAAAATGAGGATAATAATGGTACAGTTGTAGGACTAAATGAGTTAATATATATAACATACTTGGAATAGAGCCTGGAGTAGTATCATCTTTACTATTGGCACCAACCAAAGAAGATAGGGAATCCGTGAAGGGTGATTTGGGAAGGAGAAAAGCTAGTTTAGCACTTCATGAATTTATATATTCGTTCTTTTATTCATGTAACAAGTATCTATTGAATCCTTATTTTGTGCTACAAGAATGAACAAGCCAGTGTTGCTGTCCTTGTGGAGCTCACTCTAGAAAGGGGACGAGTGGGTGAATGAACAGAGAGATGGGAGCTGCTGTGGGAGCTTCAAGGGAGAGGGGACTTGAGGAGAGAGCGAGGAGCTGGCAAAGACCTGTTTGAGGAAACCATTGAGCTGAATCTTAAATAATTTAGCCAGGCAAGAACTGGGAGAGGGGAAGGGGGAAGGGAGGGCATAGGACGTACAAAAGCACACAAGCTGGTGCTGAGGGCTACTGGGGGTTCATTATGGCCAGAGCATCTAGCACTTTTGGGGATTGACAGGTAGGCAGAGGCCCCATCACAAAAGGCCTTGCCATGTTGAGTCTGGGAATAGTGTGAAGCTATCAAGGGGTGCTAGGCAGGAAACTGGCAGGACGAGGTCCCTCTAGGTCTCAATATAAAGAGTAGATTGGGGCAGGCACGTGACTCACACCTGTAATCCCAGAACTTTGGGAGGCCGCGGTGGGCGGATCACTTGAGGTCAGGAGTTCAAGATCACTATGGCCAACATGGTGAAACCCTGTCTCTACTAAAAGTACAAAAATTAACCAGGCATGGTGGTGGGCGACTGTAATCCCAGCTACTCGGGAGGCTGAGGCAGGAGAATTGCTTGGACCTGAGAGGCGGCGGTTGCAGCGAGCCAAGATCAAGCCACTGCACTGCAGCCTGGGCGACAGAGCAAGACTCAGTCTCAAAAAAATAAATAAATAAAGAGAAGTAAAAGAAATGGGGGAATTCTCTAGTTGAGGAATCACAAGGAGAAGGAGCGTGTTTTGAGGGGAAGGTGATGAATTCAGTTTTGGACCTGTTGAGTTGCAAGTGCCTTTGGGAGCTGTCCAGCTAGGGAGGACCAGCTGGTAATTGGGTCTGTGGGGTAGGGTCCTGAGCCGGGGCCAGTGCTCTGGGAGCTGGCACTGAGGTTGAAATCATGGGTATGGGTGAGGTCTTCAAAGGAGGATGTGTCGAATGAGAAGGAGGCCGTGGACAGATTCAACTGACATATAAGTGACAGGCCAAGCACCAGGAGCCTGAGAGAGAGCAGTCAGATGGATAGAAGTAAACTTGCAGCAAAACAAAAGAAAAATGAGCTTGAAGGAGGAGGAAGTAATTAGAGTGAAATGCATAGAAGGGGCAGGTCACATCTGGGTTTGGAAATGTGCACAGGCAGTAGCAAGCAGTGGCTGTCATTGGGAACCATGACCTAAAGCCAGCTTCTGTGGATTAAGGAGAGGGTGGAAGTGGAGGCAGGTGTGTAGCTTGGCTGGGAAGAAGGAGGGCATCAGGTGGAGGCAGTCTGGTTTTGTTGGTTTTTTTGAGTCAGGAAGCACCTGAGCCCACCTCCATGTTGACTGGAGAGGGCCCTATTAGGGAGAGACCGAAGATAGCAGTGAGGAAGGGGAATTCTCACTGGGGTGAGGTCAGTGAGTAGGTGAAAGGGTGTGAGATCCAGATGTCAGCATGGTCCTTGGTCACAAAGAGTCACCTCTGGGAGGCAGAAATGAATTCTTACTTTGTTTTTATTTTCTATGGGGGAAGAAACCAAAAGTGCAACTGTTTATTGTGAATAGTAGGGGTGGTGGGAAGGGCTGGCTTGAGAAGGGCTGTAAAGTTTTGGCTTGGGGCAGAGCAAGGCTCTGAGCAGGAACTCACGGGTGACCTGTCTGGTGTTGTAGAGGCTCGTAATTTGTGCTGGCAGCACCCTAGTGGTTGCACATTGTTTTCTCTGTAGTGGTCCTAGCCAGAGGGTAGGAACAGAGCTGAACGATTATCTGGCTAATCCAGGGTTGGGGGTTGCTGGGAGGGCATGTAAGGGTGACAGAGGAGTTGGGGGTTTGGGTCAGAGAATGCTTGAAATCTTGGCTAGCAGAGAAGAAGGTGGGGATAGGAGAAGGCTGATGAATGTGGAGAAAAGGAGATGGGGGTACTGAGGGAGTGAGGGAGCAGGTATGTTAAGAATAAAGAGGAGTGAGAGATAGGGGAGGGCATTGGTGTTTACGATTTGGGGGATGGGATAGGGAAGACAAAGGTCCGAGTATACTTATAGAGCATGGCAAACAAGGAATGAATGGAAAGATAATTTGCAGTGGCAAGAGCTGAGAGGCTAGGTTGTGGGATGGGCTGTCCACATGACATGGAGATGCCCCCTAGGATAGTCGTCAGGAAGGAGGGCAGCCGGTAGCTTTGATGACTGGAGGGTGGGGGAGAAGAGTGCAATGGCAGGGACCTCAAAGGAGGCCGGGCTAAAGCAACACTGAGTACAGTAGAATGATGGTCCCATCTCCAGAGGGCACAAAATGAGGGAGGAAGAGGAAGAAAAAATCACTGCGATTAATGCGGGCTCCAGGGCAAGCGGAGCTGCAGTAAGAGCCTGCAGGGGCCCAAGTGCATGACTGTGGGCAGGAGGCAGCTTGTTTTTTGTGGAAGGAGGAGTCTGGAAGGTCCAGTGGGAGGGCAGATGAAAGAGAAGACAGCTCAAGTGGAAGTGAGAGAAGGAGACATGATGGAGGACCAAACAGTTCTACATTTGGGGCATGTGAGGCCCCGTGGGTTTTCTAGCATCAAAGTTCCAAGGGAAACTCTGATATAAAGTTGTTTTTACCTTAGATGATCACCAGAGCAGATCCATCTCCACATATAGTTTTAAATTGTCCTCTCATCAACACAGACTGTTTCTCAAGTTCTTGTGCGTGTTGACATTTGAAAATGTTTGGATGTTCATTCATTCAACAAGCATTTGTGTATATGCTGTGTGTCCAGCACTGTATAGCAGCTTGGGTTTGGTTTTGTACTTTTCCAACGTAGAAAGTGCTTTTGTAGACATTGTTTCATGAATTCATTAAAGCAATCCTGTGAGACAGCTAAGCCAGGTGAAGATATCCCAATTTTTTTTTTTTTTTTTTTGAGACAGAGTCTTGCTTTGTCACCCATGTCTGCTCACTGCAACCTCCGCCTCCTGGGTTCAAGTGATTCTCCTGCCTCAGCCTCCTGAGTAGCTGGAATTATAGACGCCCACCACCTCGCCTGCCTAATTTTTGTATTTTTAGTAGAGATGGGGTTTCACTTTGTTGGCCAGGCTGGTCTTAAACTCCTGACCTCAGGTGATCCGGCTTTCCTCAGCCTCCCAAAGTGCTGTGAACTGGGTGTGAGCAGGGCATCTGGTTCAGAAGCTGTCCAACTACTCTGGGGGTGGGGCAGAGTAGCTGGATTCTGGATTGGTTTCAAAGATCAAGCCACAAAGGTTTCTGATGATTCTATGTGGCATGACAGAAAGAGAGAAGTCAAATGTGGTTCACAGATTTGTGGCCTGGCAGCCAGAAAGAAGAAATGGCCAATAACTGAGTCAAGGAAGATGGCAAATGGAATGAGTACCTGGCAAGGGGTGTGAGGTGGGGAGGCAGAAATCAGAGCTACGTTTGGGGTACCTTCAATTTGAAGTGGCTATTAAACGTCCACGTGGAAATGCCAAATAAGCAGTCAGCTGTACGAGTCTGGAGTTCTGGGGAGAGATCCAAGCTAGAGGCATAAATTTGGGAGTTGTCAGCATATAGATAGTATTTAAAATGATGGGACTGAACCATTTGCAAGCCTAGCCTCCAGTGGGGAGAAGTCTGTTCTCAGAGTGAGGAGCTCTGCACGCGTTGGCTAAAAGGGTGGCGTGGCTTTGTGAAATTGAGAGCTGGAGGAGCCCAGCAGAATGAACCAGGTTGTTCAGCCCTTAATGAGCAGACACTCTGCGTGTAGAGGCAGCCAGGCCCACCTCTCATGGGTGAGTCAATGAATACATTTTAAAAATCAAATTAGAAAAATCCTGTCAAGCAGGAGTCTCCGGTATGCAGCTATTTTATGAGGAGGGAAACCGTGAACCTTGCTGTCTTTGGTTGCTTAGGGCTCCCATGAAGACCTCCTGAACAGGGGGAAGATGTTGGGGTGGGCAGTGGGCACTGACAGGAGCTGGTGAAAGACTGGATGTTTGCAGGGGCCTGGGGGAAGCGGGACCTGGGGGAAACATTAGCTGGGGAGCTTCTCTGTGAGGCTCTGCCATGTGGCTCACCATGCCTGAGATACCCAGATGGGAGGGAGGAACTCTTTTTTTGCTGCTTATGGAAGACGAGACCCAGAGACTTTGGGTGACCTGATGAGGGGACAGTTCTCTGGGTTCAGGGTGATAATGGGGGAAATGGTTGTTCCTGTGACTATTTTATATCCTTCTTTAGAACCCTCAACTTTGTTAGGTGTATGACCTGGTTGATCTTTATAACATACCTGTGAAGTTGGCAGAGCAGGTGTTATCTCCATTTTACAGATGAATAGACTAAGGCCTAGGGGAATCAAGAGACTGCTTGTCTATGGCAC